CCCAAGGATCAGGGGGGTGAATCTGGACCGCAGGTCCGGCCTGTGAGCCCAGTCCCACCAGCTCCTTCTCCAGCAAGGAGCACCATGGGAGGGCCTTTCCCCGTGTCGCCACCAGCACTACCTCCAGGGGCCTCAGGTCCTCCCCTCCAGATCCACCCCCACCTGCCTGTCCCATCTCATATCCCCTCTGCACTCAACTCCGTGTCATGCACCACAGACAAGTTGTCTTCTCTGTCCTTCTCACTGCCATTTCCAAGGCCATACCTGTTGTCTGCATTGGTCTTGCCAGCCTAGACCTTGAAGCTGGGTGGTGAGTCGCCCCCCTGCCTGCCCTGCCCTGTCCACTTGGGCTCCCCTGGCCCTGCCAGTGCTCTGGATTGTGGCTGAAGCACCCAGCCGGGGCAAGCGGGTCAGGAGTAGTGTTTAGGAGAAAGACAGCCACCGAGGAGCTGAGGTGGGTCTGTGGGCCAACGAGACTCCTCTGAAGGCAGGGAGGATGGTGAACTCCTCGGCCGGCTGCAGGGCGACCACAGAGAAGCCACCTCAGCCAAGCAGAGACACACACTCCCTTTAACAAAGCCGTCTGTGTGCCGTGCCCGGCTGGCTGGCCACAGGGGTCCTCAGGACAAGGGCCACCCCTGACCTCGTGGGAGGAAGAGGTTGTGAACAGCTGCGAGGCAGCTGGGGTCTCCTGGCTGTCAGAAGGCAGCAGCCTGCCCCACACTGCCCCGGGGGCCAGGTGATACCCGGGAGAAGAAAGGGTCCTGGAGGCCTTGGTGGGTGGTGGGCTCTACTCACCCTCCTTCCCACCCCCGCCTACCTGGGGGAGAATCAGGCACTCAACTCACAGCAACGCAGGGAGGGAGGGGCCGCTTGTGTGGCTGCGCCAGCCCTGGGGGTGCCTGCCGAGTGGCCCACTGGCACCGGTTCCGTGTGCAGACTCCCTGGAGGACAAGAGTGTGGGCCCGCCTCGCTCAGGCTGCGGTGCAGGAGGGGTACCGCCTGGAGCCTGGTCCTCTCCCCGTCCCCACTGGATGTGGATGAAGGGGATGGAAAGTCACGAGGAGAGAGGCTTCTGGACCCTGCAGACACACGGGTACCAGCTGGAGCCTGGACTTTGCACGTCAGCACAGCCCTTCATCCCTCAGAGCCTCGAGGTCTTCCCATGGGCGCTCCATGCCATCCTTCCCATTTCACAGGCCCAGGGAGGGCACAGCAAGGTTGGTCCCTGGAAAGTGCCCGTCTCTCTCCTCCACAGGCGCTCAGCAAGGGGGTTTCCTTCTTCCTGGGAGGCCCTGCTCTGTGGGGACCGTGCTGGCTGCTGGCGGGCGGGCCTGCATCCACACTGTGCCCCGGAGGGCGTGTGTGTGAGTCCCTCCGTGCAGCAGGCACAGCAGCCCGGGCAGGCGAGCACAGGGACCGGCCCCGTGTCTCCCCCGGGAAGCCGAGGCTCAGAGAATTCATGCAGCCGCGCGGCCTGCAGCTCATCGGTGCACAGGCGCCAGCGGCACCCACGCCGCGGGGCCCTCCTCTCGTGCCCTCGCCGCCTCCTCCCCCTCGAAGCACCCGGGATTCGATTGGAGTCGCACATCTTGCCAACAACCTCCAGGGAATGCATCCGCGGGTCAAGATCCTTTCCTGAGTCTCTGTGCTCCTCCAGCCTCGCTGTGTGAGCGCTTCCAGGGTGTCCCTATGCGTGCATCCTGCTTGGAGTCTCCTGAGCCTCTGGCTGTGGGTGTCCTTGGGCTCTTTCTAAAATCCTCCCGTTTTCCTGGGGGCGCTCTGCTTAAGAATCATCGTCCCTATGCCTCATCCCTTGTGTCTGAGCACAAATAGCCTTGCCTTTAAAATACCTGATGTCAAGGGCGCCAGGTTGGCTCAGTCAGTTGCGCATCTGACTTCAGCCCAGGTCATGATCTCACGGTTTGCGGGTTCGAGCCCCACACGGGACTGTGCACTGACAGCCTGGATCCTGCTTCGGATTCTGCGTCTCCCTCTCTCTCTGCCCCTCCCCCACAAACACTCTGTCTCAATAATAAATAAATAAATCTAGAAAAATCATTCTCGGGGTGCCTGGGTGGCTTAGTCGGTTAAGCGTCCGACTTTCGCTTAGGTTGTGATCTCGCGGTTCATGGGTTCGAGCCCCGCGTCGGGCTCTGTGCTGGCTGCCAGCTCAGAGCCTGGAGCTTGTTTCGGAGTCTGTGTCTCCCTCTCTCTCTGACCCTCCCCTGCTCACGCTGTCTCTCTCTCTCTCCTAGAAATAAAAAAAAAAAAATATATATATATATTTAGAAAAATCATTCTCCCGGCAGGTGGGCCTGGGCTGAGGCTGTGCTCAGCCTGTGCATTTGGGTGGCTGTTTCCGGTCACCAAGCCCGGTTCCTTGCCCAGGGCCATGTTTTGTGTGAATTACTCAGACTGGGGCTTCCCCGAAGGCTCCACTGGTGCGGGAAGGACCTCAGCCCACCTGAGGGCATTGATCCTGGTTGGGGGGGAGGGGATAGTCTCCACCTCAACCCCAGCCCCGTGGGGCTCAGTCCCTTGTCTTCTCCCGATCCTGGGGGCAGAGTTTGTGCACCCCGTCGTCACTGCTGCTCTTGTCTTCCGCAGTCCTGCCTCCTGCAGGCTTCAGTCCAGACCCCTGGTCCTCCCGGGCCCCCTGCCTCGCACCCTTTCCAGACCCAGACCCATGCCCGCCCCGGGGGCTGCTGTGCGGGCTGCTCCCTAGTCTGTGATTCTTCTCATTTGGGGAATTTGAGGGGGGCCTGTCTTTTTTTTTNGACTGTGATTATTTATAGTTTGTACAAGGGGAAAGAATTTCAGAGGATCAGCCTCATGATTTTGCTGTAGTTTGAGCACCCTTTAGGGGCACAGAAGTGGAGGGTCGGCGTCACTCTCGTGGCTTCCCGGGGGGGGGGGCGGGCAGGGAATGGGGCTGACCTTGCGTGTGGCACAGCCTCACCGCTGGTGACTTGAAGGCTCACGTTTTTTGCAAATGTTTTTTCACTTTCTGTGGAAATATCTGCCTCCTTTGCAAGAGAGATCCTGATTGTACTGGCCATTGATTGAAGCCCATTTCTATTTGGGTTATAAAATGTTCTGTAATTAAATAGTGATGATGCCTGCACAATATCGTGAATATAGTAAAAAACACTGAAATGATGGATTTTATGTCATGTGAATGTTATTTAATTGAAACTCAGGTTTGATTTCAATGAGAGGATGATGAGGGAAGAGAAGGTCTCATTTCTGTTCCCCTCACGTGTCTTTCCTGCCAGCACCACGTGTGCTTGGAGGGACAGCCTCAGCACAGGAGTCCCCCTGCTTCTGCTTGAACAGATTTCAAGGCCGTCTCCGGCGGCTCCCAGCCTCTCCCCGTTCGGATGTCGGCACCGGGGGAGACCTGCTGGCGCTGGTGTGAGGACAGGTCCCATTTGCAGGGAGGAGTGCGGTGCACGCACGACTTGTCCGGGTGGCCCACACGGGGTGCTGGGCCCAGGCGCTATTGTCAGGCCATGATGTCCATGTGCCACCTCTTCGCCCAGCTCCCTCTCAGGTCCATCGTCCCCACCTGAGAGCAGAAGCATGGAGTCTCAGGCGGCCCCGGGTGCCTGTGGTCTGGGACCACTCTTTCAGCTAACTCCTACACTCTTCCCCTTTCATTAAAATACTTAGTCTCTGGGGATGCCTCAGTGGCTCAGTCGGTTGAGTGGCTGAGCATCTGACTTAGGCTCAGGTCATGATCTCATGGTTTCTGAGTTTGAGACCAGCATGGGGCTTTGTCTCCCTCGATCTGCCCTTCCCCTGGTCACACTCATGTGTGTGTTCTTTGTCTCCCTGAAAAAAAAAAACTTAAATAAATATTCAGTCTCTGATTGCTAGAGCAACAGAATGTTTGGTCTACTCGTGAGATTGTGTCTAAAGAGGAAGAAACAGGTCAAATGCTAAAACCACAAAGAAATCTCTAGATGAGCAGAACCCAAATAGTAATGCACTTTATTTCTCTCTTGAAATAACTTGCAAATGGGCAGCTGGCCCACTGGGGCCCTGTGGGTCGGTGTCCCAGGCTCACAAGGGAGGAAAGGAGAGTGAACTTGCTCTGAGGAATGAGGGGAGAGATGAGACCCTCCAAGGGGGCTTCTCATGTCAGTGTGTGGCCGACGAGGAGGCAGGCAATGCTCAGGAGCAATGTTGACTCCCCCAAGCACACAGTTCCTTCTAACTCTTCCTCCAGAGTGTAGTCATTTGGGATGTCCCTCTCCATGTTAGTGGGTCCTCCTTCGTTACAAGTCATACCATTACAACAGCGGACGAAATAGAAGCTATTAGTTCTTAAGACTCTTGGGGCTTCGGGGGGCACATCCATTTGATATAAAAAAGTGCAGTTGTTGGTACAGTTCTTGTAAACGAGAACTTCTCGAGTGTTCAAACCTTAAAAAGCAGAGATGAAAATCATTGGTTTCAGGTTTTCCGCCTGCCAATATCCAAGCACAGTTGCCCCCAGTGACTGGCCCCCGCCCACGGCCCGCCTCCCCAGCTGTGACTACAGTGCCCAGAATTCCTCACTGCTGACGTCCAAGAAAGGCCACCGGAGGGTCTGTTTCCTCCACGGACAACTT